AGAGAGAGAGAGAGAGAGAGAGAGAGAGAGGACAGTAACTAGGAAATTATTGAAGCTTTTGTCTCCCAGGTACTCATCCCAACACTGTCTCTTAATTTTAATAAATTGTAAAATAGAGGATCATTAGCAGTTTTCATGGGTTCTTTTCAGTTCCTGTTAATCAGCTTCTTCCATCCCTAGAAGTCAGAGTTTTTCATTTGTACCCAGACTCTGAATTTGGGCCTTTTCCCCCTTGTATGGTAATAAGGTAATTTAACACTGTGTCATGCTTTCTGTTGGAAGAGAAGAGACTCAGGGTCAAAGAATTTCTCACCCAGCAACTATAAGAACCAGTACATTGGACTGAATGTGGAGACATTCACTTTTAATCCCAGCACTCTGAGGCAGAGGCAGGCAGGTCTCTGTGAGTTCGAAACCAGATTCGTTTACAAAGAGTTTTAAGAACAGCAGAACTCAAGAAAAAAGAAAAGGGGAAAACACACACACACGTACACACGTGTGCACGCACATGCATGCAAAAACAAAAACCTAGCATTCAGTGTTTGTTCAGGTAACTGAGTCTGGTTTCATTAAGGTGCTGCAAAGAGGGGCTGCCTCCATATAGATACATTATAGGAAGACTCGTTGCTTTAGGGGCTGGATTTTAGAACGGGTGAAGAGTCTTACTTGCCTTTGTTCCTCGGTGTTTACATTAGTTTATATCTGATAGTTACTCATAGTTGTGCCACTTGGTATAAATTTGTCATTGCTTCCTCACTCCAAGTAGAAAATTTTAAACTTTTACATTTTTTATATGTGCATTAGTGTTTTGCCTGCATGTATGTCTATGTGAGAGTGTCAGATCTTAGATTTAACAGTTGTGAGCCGCCAAGTGGATGATGTGATCTGAATCAAGGTCCTCTGAAAGAGCAGTCAGTGCCCTTAACTGCTGAGCCCTGAAAGTTTTAAATTTTTGAGCAGTTGTATACTATATGAACATAATGAGTATGGGCCAGTCGTGCTATCACATGCTTTTAATCCCAGCACTTAGGAGGCAGGGTAGAGGCAGGAGAATCTTTGTGAATTTGAGACCAACCTGGTCTGCATAGCAAGCTCCAGGCTCAGCAGGCACACATAGTGAGACACTGTCTCAAATAAAACCAAAACAAAGATTAGAAAAAGAGAACATATTGCCTGTCTAGTCACTGTCCCTCTTCAATGTTAGGAATCAAACTAAAGGCCTTGTGTATGCTGGCTTCCATTGAGCCCCTCCCAGCCTGCTCTCCAGTTTGCAACTCTTGATGAATAAATGAAAGTTTAAAATGTATTATCATTTGCTAAGTTGGAACCCAGGGCCTTGTACATGTTAGCAAATGAATCAGAACCTCAGCTGCCCCTCCCCCTCAAATGTTGTATTTTAGAGACAATTTCATAGGCTCTGACTGGGCACGCTGAGACAGGCGTGTAGGAGGCTTGCTGATAGCTATAACCTTTGCACTTACAGTTCTCTCACCCGTGTCTGCCATGTGCAGGTTTCTCTGCCTCCAGTAATTTCCATCTTTTCCTCTTATGTTCTTTTTTGTCTTTCAAAGCCTGTCAATGTATAAACCTTTTAAGTGAAGTGTTTTCAACCTATTTGAATTGAACATATTCATAGTAATCTGCGTGTGTCACTACAGCGCTTACCTCCTTGCGTTGTGATCACTGATATTCTTGCTGTTGCTGTTTTGTTCTGTTTTGTATCTTTTAGTAAAGTAAAAGTGATCGAGCAGGCCTCCTCTCCTCCTACATAGCAGGTTTCCCCCTACGAGTTGCTTTAGAAAGTCTGTTGAGTATTTCCTTAGTTGAGCCTTAAGGAAATTAATTTGCCTAATACAGTCTCATTAGAAAAGAGTCACAAGATACAACATACTGGACAGATATGTTGTCCAGTGCATATGGACAACATAGACATTATCTACTGTACCAAATAATATTTTCTTGCTCTATTTAAATTTGAACTATAGACTGTGGATATTCATAAAGAAAAAGTGGCTCGAAGAGAGATTGGTATTTTGACAACAAATAAGAATACATCAAGAACTCACAAAATAATAGCACCTGCAAATATGGAGCGCCCTGTCAGGTATATTCGGAAGCCTATTGACTACACAGTTTTGGATGATGTGGGCCATGGAGTTAAGGTAAGCATTTTGTATTATTTAAATGTGAATTACTTTGAATTTTCAACAAATATTTTGCTTAGAAATTGTGATAGGATTTTCTTATTTGATGGATTCCCTTTGGCTAGCAACTAGTGTTACAATTTTCATAGAATATTTATTTATTTTAACGCTTTAAGGATATGAATGTTTGCTTGCATGTGTGTATATGTACTACATGCATATCTGGTGCCCTGGGTCAGAAGAGGGCATTGCACTACGTAGAAATGAGTTATGGATAGTTGGGAGCCACCATGTACATGCTAGGAAGTGAACCTGGGTCCTCTGCAAGAGCAACAAGTGCTCTTAACTGCTGAACCATCTTTTCAGCCCTCTAGAATATTAATTTAATGAGCTACATGTTTGACTAAACTTGAAGCAGAACTTTATCTGCAGAATAGGCACTGTTCAGAAAAACCTAAAAACCTGAAAAGGATGCCCTGCTAAGATGGCTTTGCCAGTAAAGGCCACTAAACCTTTTGACCTGTGTTGTACTTTTATAATCCACGTGGGAAAAGGAGAAAATTGGCGCCTGCAAGTTTATCTCCTCTCTACATCATGCTGTCTTACTTATACCATAAACAATAACTAAAAAGCACAAACAAACAAATAAAAACACAACTTGAAAAGGCCATTTATTAAATAAGCTATTTACATCATGGATTATGATTGGCTTATAAAATAAATTGTACATAATTTGGCCTTTTATTTCTAAATATTTGTGTACCTGTGTAGTATGGGGATGAAATTCATTGACTTTTTTACATGGAAGAAAAAAAAATTGTACGAAAATTTTGTTGTGCCTACTTCTGCTACAACCTCTAGGTTTGTGGAAGAATATTTGTTGCCTCTGCCTAAGCTTGGCAGAATTAGGTGATCTTGAAATTTGTAGATTTTGTTTTTCTGTATCTACAAACATCTGGAGCAGCATAAGTAAGCCAGCTCTGTTGTGCTTTGAAATGTAATAATCCCTTTCTCAGAAGAATGACTTTGTTATCCTTCAAAATATTTCATAATAGTTTTAGGTTGTTTGTTTGTGGGTTGGTTTTTTTCTTTTTTCTTTTTTTCTTTTTTTTTTTTTTTTTGTTCTTGTTGTTGTTGTTTGTTTTGAGACAGGGTGTCTCTGTATGTAGCCTTGGCTGTCCTGGACTTGCTTTGTAGACTAGGCTGGCCTCAAACTCACAGAGATCCAGCTGTGTCTGCCTCCTTGAGTGCTGAGAATGAAGATGTGCGTTACCATGCCTGGCTCTTAAGAATTGTTTTTAATTTTATTTGTGTGAGTGTTTTGCCTGCGCGCATGTCTGTGTACCACCTGAGTGCCTGGTGCCAATGGAAGCAAGAAGGGGATGTCTGATCTTCTGTGTTGGAGTTACAGTTGTCAGCCACATTGTGGACGCTGGGAATTGAATTTAAATACTCTGGGAGAGCAGCCACCTTCAGCTAGAGTCTGAAAACGTTTACTAGCGGATGGATAGGACTGGTGCGGTTGCTAGACGTATTATATTATAAGTATTCTGAGATGTTTGTCAAAAGAGGAACGTTAACTTTCCCAAGGTTTCTGGAATGTTTTATTCACTTTTATCCTTAAGAGTTATATGTGAGATTGAAACATCAAATGTAATGGAGACTACCTGTTTCTTGTATTTTTATCGAAGGTATATCTAGCATTAAGAGCTTAAATTAAATTGTACTAGAAAATATTTTAAAATAGTAATATATAAGGTATTATTACATATTTTGGGATTTAAAAATACGTACAACATGTGCAGATATGTTTATCTAGCCTGTTATTTGGGGAAACTCATTAACTTTTCCCCCTTTGGCTTCATCTTAAATTTCTTTCTCCCAAAACAATACATTAACAATTCAGTAAAGAAAAATTTCTGAGCCAAGTGTGGAGCGTCTTAGGCAAAATTAGGAGTTTGAGGACAGTTTGAACTGCATAGTGGAGTTTCGTCATAACAAATTCCTCAAAAACCTAACCATTTTCTTAGAGTCAAATACCCCGAATTTTCTCATCCCTTCACTCATGACTGTGTGTTTGGGAGTGTATAAGATTGATTTTTTTTTTTTAAAGATTTTTTATTATTATTTATACAGTGTTCTGCCTGAACAGCAGAAAAGGGCACCACATCTCATAGATGGTTGTGAGCCACCATGTGTGGTTGCTGGGAATTGAACTAAGGACCTCTCGAAGAGCAGACAGTGCTCTTAATCACTGAGTCATCTCTGCTCAGTGCTGGAATTAAAGGCTTGGATCCAAATTTTAAAAGGAAGTTTGATAAGAAAATACAACTCTGGATTATGAATTTAAGCAGGCAGCATAAACAGTTTACTAGATGCTGAGCCTATATGCTTGAGAACTTAGGCAGTTTTCTTTTTAATTACTAAAAACTGCAAACATTTTAAAAAGCCTCTTTTTAAAAGAGTGTTTATGATGGTAAGGTACATATTATCCCTAATTTTTACTAGTCAGTATTACGTGCATACTTGTGAAGTATAGCCACATTGCTTTGGTTACTGTTTTTAAATGTTTTGGCCGAGATTTCGAAGCGTGGTGGCTGTGAGAACTGGGTATGTTAGAGGCTGGTGTGCTGGTGGAGCACCTGCCTGCACAGGGAGGAGGAGCACGGAGCTGCAGACACTGTGCACATAGTGTGTGTGGTCTGGTACACAGGAGGCCAGTATGCGGCTGAGACATGTAATGTTCATCTGTGCACAAAATTTATACCTACACAATTACCTTTTCCCTGGTCTTATTACTCTGTGTGTGTGTGTGTGTGTGTGTGTTTTAATGACATGTGTAAGAATTTTTGTATTCTTATCTTAATTTTTTTCTACAATATTGTGGAGATGTGTGAAATTAAGAAACAATACCAGAGCTGGATGTGGTGGTTGCTTCTGTGAGTTCAAGGCTCGCCTGTTGTAAGGCGTGACTTTTGAGCTAGCCAGGGCTTCATAGTAAGACCCTGTCTCAGAAGAAATACTACTAGTACCACAAGACAGAAGGCACAGGAAGACCATAGCTTAAAGGCTAGTCTGTTCTGCACAGTGTGCTCCAGGTCACCTGGGCCATACAGGAAGACTGTCTCAAACAACAAAACAGCTCACCAGCCAGTCCTTTTGCCCCTTAAAATAAATCCAAAGAAATTTGGGCATTTGTTAATGGTAAATTATGCACAGGTTGAAATTATGAGGCAGTAGGAATTAAATTATTTTAAATTGGGCATTTTCAGTATTACTTATTTATATTGTTTATATTATTTATTTTTATATTCAGATTTTTGGTCTTTGTTTCCCATTTCTATTTAGAAATTTGATTTCTTTTTTAATTAAAATTTTTCTCCATAACATTTTATCTTGATCATATTTTTTCCCTAACCTTAACTCTCAGGTGAAGTTTGATTCGTTAACACTGTTAAATTTGTGCTGTCCGTTAAGGATCATGACACCTGCTCTTTCCTCATGGTGTTTTTTGTTTTTTTTTTTTTTAATTTAACTTCACTGTTTAGATATTTTTCACAATATATACAGAGTAAATATTGTATCTAGATTAATATTTTTCCTGTAGCTACCGTATTTTATGTCCAATGTTTTCTTACTCCTAAGATTAATATTCCATCTTATTTGTGACACAGATTTTAGTGTTTTGGTATTTGTGTATGATATACTTGACCTTCCTTTAAATAGATTATGCATTTAATACATTTCATGTTGAAAACTATATGCTATCTATAATTTTATTAGGAATTTAAAATAACGTAAAGTAAGTCTAGCTAGATTTTATCAGAATAAAATACTGATAGGAGAAACCCTGTGCAGAACCTTCCAGAATATGTACATGAAGAACAAGAAAAGGTGATGATTTTCATGGGCAGTCATCACATTTCTAAGTGAGCATAGGGAAGGAAGGCTTGAACACTTAGTGGAGAAATTTACAGTTTATTTTGGTAAGCATAACACTGATCAGTTTTCTAAATTAGTTTATAACTTACCAGAGGAGGTTATAGGGACGATCAAGGAAGCAAGACAAAGACATTCTTCTGGTTAGAGTTTGTTGGTGTTTTCTAAGGTAAAGCCACTGAGGTTGATTGATGGTTTCTGGTCAGTTATGCTTTGTAGCAACCCAGAGCAGCAGTGCTGTCTCAGCTTTAATGCTCTCCCAGTTATTCTGAATTTTTTTCAGATGTGTTACTTTTTGTATCTGTTTGCCTATATTTGTGTATGTATACCACGTGTGTAGACAATGTGTGTGTGCCAAGTGTATGTACCATATATGTGTACCACTTACATGTACCCCTTGTGCGTGTATCCTGTGTGTACTGTGTGTGTGTTTGTGCTGTGTACCGTGTGTGTATTATGTGTATGTGTACCATGTGTGCTTGTTCCCTGTGGAGATGGAAAGAGAACAGAGATACAGTTGGTTGTAACACCGTGTATGTGGCTGCTGGGAACTCTGGGGCCTCTGCAAGGGCAGCAAGAGCTCTTAACCACTCAACCGTCTCTCTAGCTCACCCCTTCTGGTTATTATTATTGTTTTAACAGTATAGATACTAACCTATAATATTTACATAGGGCTGTGCTTTTAAACAGTTTAAATTTTATTAAGATGAATCAGAGCTTATCAGTTACTTCAAAGAATTTGACATTTGAAGCTTACTGCTACAAAAATAGAGTTGACTCAGAAAATTTTATTACTTTTAATTTCATATTCCAGGTAAATGGTGAAATTATTCAAAGTATAAATATTTAGAGGAAGAGAGAGCTTAAGGAAATACTAAAATCTTTTATTTCGCTTGGGAACTTTTAAGTAGATGTTTCATATAAGTATTGTCAGATGTTCATATAAGTATTGTGCTAGCAGTTGTATCTTGAGCTTTAAGAGGCAGAGATGAATTTTACAGCTCCTATTTTGGAACACAGTCACATACATAAATTTTTAAAAGAGGAAGCTGAACCTGAACATAGGTTGGAGATTACACAGTTGTGTAGTTACAGGGTTCAAGTAAAGGATTTGTTTCCCATTTAATTTTACTGTTCTTTCATTTGGGAACAGATTACATACAAATGCTGAGGGTTTTGTTTGCTTGTTTCTTTTGTTTTGTTTTTGTCTTTGTTCTTTTAGTTGAAAGAAATGATGTAAGTGTACTTATACTTTTTTACACAACTAACATGTTACGAAACATACTATATGCATATATACGTGGGACAAATGTAGTCATCATATACATAGATTATACAGACACTAGTACATCTTATCAAGGATCTTAATATTAGTTAAATGTACTATTTTACATCCAGGTATGCAATGTGGTGATTAGGTTGGGTTGCAGACAGTGTTCCTAGGTGATAGTGAGAATACCATTTTAAACAAAAAGTGAAGAATACCAGAATTCTAGCACAGTTTATATAAATAAGATGTTTGAAATTCTTCTATAAGATTTTATTTAATATTGCCATTGTGATCATCAGAAAATTGTAGATAACTTGTAAGAACAGCACATAGAAATTGAAGTCTCCAAATTTTATAGACAAACTGTAGAAATGGGAATGTTTTTTTAAGGCATGGTCTAAGGACTGGCACTATAGGGTCATGTACATTGTTTCAGGTGTGTTAGCTGATCACCTCTAACAGAAGTAGCCTTTAAGATCAAAGTAGCTTTTCTTGTTTAGAATTTCCACTGAATTGTTCAATAAAAGCATAGCAACATACACCTTCCTAGTAGTAGGCTTGCTCAAGACTTCCATAGTTTAGAAATGAGTTCTAGACTTTCTTTTTCAGCTAGAATCTTGCCAACCTATTGTTAGATGATTTCATTTCTATATATCTTTTGTAAAGGCTAGTTTTATTCACACGCACATATATTATCTTATTCATAACACACCACCCAGTTTTTGAGATACGGTCTTACAGATCCCAGATTGGCCTTGAACTTGCTGTGTAGCTGATCATCCTGCCCCCACCTCCCAAATTCTGGGTTTTCAGGAGTATACACCCACACTGGTTATGTGAATCTGAAAATGAAGCCAGTGTTGCTGCATGCACTACAGAACTCTGCCAACTGAGATACATTCTCAGGCTTTAGTCAGGGTTTCATGATTTCATTTTTAAAGACTGATGTGCTAGGCCAAATCCTCTTCTGAATTTGAAAGCAACTTTTGAGTTTTTGTTTTTATTTTTTTGAGACAGAATCTTACTATATAGGTCTGAGTAGTTTGGAACTCCCTGCATAGACCAGGCTGGCCTTGAAGGCAGAGACACACCTGTCTTTGCCTCTCAAGAGCTGGAATTAAAGACTCCATATACAGCTACACCTCAACCCTCTTCAAGAGCAGTATGTGTGCTTAATCACTGAGCCATCTCTCCAGCTCAACTTGTGATGTTTAAATATGATGTTTAAATATATATAAATAAATACAAATAAATATGTTTATTATTTATCTACTTTATTTTTTGTGGTATTAAGGAATTAATTTAGAGACTTTCACATATTAAGTTACTTTTGAGTTATCTCTACAGCTTTAAACTGTTACGTATTTAAGGCTTAAATTTTAGCATTTAAGGCTTATATTTTTATATTACTGTACTACCACTCAAGTAATGAATGTCCCAGACTTAGGCATTCATTATTTAATAAAGTCTTAGATCTTGTTTACTGCTCTGTTAAAAATGGCTTTATATTTTCTGTATTATCATTTATCTAAATCAAATTAGATATTTTAAATTATGTTTAAATGTGTGTATGGGAGGGCATATGCATGTGAGCGCTGTGTCTGTGGACAGAGTCCAGAAGGGAGCATTTGATCCCTTGTAGCTGGAATTACAGGTGGTCATGAGATGCCTGATGTGCTTGCTGGATACTGTCATCTGCAAAAGCTGTTACATACTTTTAACTCCCGATGCACCTTTCCAGCTCCATATCATCTGTAATTCATTTGGATCAGGTTCGTGGGTTAAGTGATGACCTAGGAAATCTTGAGGCCTGCTTGACATTGGCTCGATTAGTTGGGAGTTTCATTAGGAAGTTACTAATTTTAAAAGTACATGTAAGACCTTCTGACAAAAGCCCCCAGTCCCAGCTACCTGGGAGGTTGAGGCAAGAGAATCATAAATTCAAGTTTTCTCTGGGTCACAAAGTCAGTTCTAGGCCAGTTTGGGAACCTTAGGGGCTGAATTCAGCTCATTGGTGGAGTGCTTGACTAACATTTGTGCAGCCCTGAGTTCAGTTCCTAGTACTAAGGAAAAATAAATGTAACACACAGACATTTCCCTAGTTCCTTTAGATACTTAAAAATGTATTTGAAATATAGCTGGATTTTAAAAGCTTGTTAACATAAATTCAGTAATATAAATGTCAACCTGTCCTGTCACATACAACTTACCTAGAATTAATTTCTACTTTTTCCCCCTCTTTTTTGTTTTTGCCAACATAAAGTGGCTAAAAGCCAAGGTAAGAGACATTGCTTATCATTCGATCCGCAGTACTTCCTGTATGTTGACAGAGGCTGCAGAGCCACTAAAATGTGAAAACTCTTCCGTCTGTCTGCTTTCTCCTGTAGGATTGACGTAGATTAAATATGCTCAGACTTAGATCAGATCAGCAGCATTTAGCTTGGCTGTGTTAATATATCCAAGATATATTGACGTTTGCACTTTAGGAACATTAATCTTGCTAACAGTTACTGCTTTGCTCATGTATTTTACAGTTGCTTTGCTTCCATTGACTGACAATTAGGTTTCCCAGACGTCACATGTAATTTTGCTGCTGAATTATTAGGAAGATGATTATATTTGACATGAGTATTTTAGCAGATTGGCAGATTTGTAGATTATATTTATGCACACATAATGCACATATAAATGTTTATTCAAACATTTAATAATCCTGATTTTTTAATGAGATTGATATCCGTGAACCTGTCAACAATAAGATATGAAATCTAGTAGTCTCACCTGTATTTTGCATAAATTAATATAACTAGCACAAAATATGATAGGAAAAATTGAGCGCAGGTGGCTTTTGAACTTTTAAGTTGTAATACCAAACTATTAAAACTGTCTGGGAATCCTTACTTCACATTCTGATATTAAGAAAAAGACATCTTGTTAAAACATCAAGAGAACAAGTTGATACAAAAATAAAATGTTTCTCTCCACATTCTAGCACGGAAATAACCAGCCTGCACGAACTGGCACATTGTCGAGAACAAACCCTCCCACGCAGAAACCACCAAGCCCTCCTGTGTCAGGCCGGGGAACTTTGGGGTAGGAATTCAGTTGCCTTCTACATGGAATGTCTGAGACTTAGGGGCATGCTTTCTTGTTTTATGTTATCTCTTGTGGCACTACCCTTTAAAGGAATTGCTTTTATGAGTGTATATGTGCATTCATGTGGAGAGGTCAGAGAAGAACTTGTGAGAGCCTGTGGGTCCCTGTAATGAAGCTTGGAATGCCACCCGTGGTACCATCTTGCTGCCTCAGACTGATTTCCGTTCCAAATTCCCTAAACGGAATCCAGAATGCATCTGCCTGCTTTATAACCTGTGTGTGTTTAATGTGATCATGCGCACGCACGGGTGTGTGTGTGTGTGTGTGTGTGTGTGTGTGTGTGTGTGTGTGTGTGTGCGCGTGCGCGCGCGCGCACCTGTGTGTCAGAGAACAACCTTAGGTTTCACCATCAGGAAAGCTGTCACCTCCTTTAAGACAGGTTGTCTTATAGGCCTGCAGCTCACCAATGAGGCTATATTGGCTGGGTAGGAAGCACCTACGAGTTGCCTGTCTCGCTCTGTCAGGAATCAATACTCTTTTGTGTATGTGTAAGTGAGTATTGTGGTTTTTGTTAGTACATTTAAAAACTGTAAATCTGCGTTGACCAGAGTTCCTTATGGTGCCACCACTTGTATTTATGCTGTTTATGTTGTGTCTCTTTGAACAAGTGGTTGCTTTGTGTCATTTGTCTTCACCTCTTGTTCCTCCTGTTCCATGGCACTTTACACTCAGGACTCTACCTGAATGGCTTTAACTGCGTCAGCTACTCACAGGCCCCTCCGTACCAGAGTAGCTTTATGGAGAGCCCTTAAAAAGATGGAAAAGGTAGTGCTGATTTCTTGCCCCATGTTGCACTAATTGTATCAATATTTTCCGAGGTGTTTCTGAAGGATTAATTGCTCGGAAATACCATATTAGATTTCTTGCCCTTTGGAGGGGGTAAGTCAGCAGCCAACTTTTTCCCTCCTGTAGAAGGGCTTGAGGGACTGATGTGGGCATGATATATGTTTTAATGCTATATGTTAATGAGCATTAAAAAGACTATAACTATTATTTTTAGTGTAATGTTAGAATGTCAAATGAACCTTCCCAATAATTTTCCCAATTAATAGTGACAAATTTGACTTTTTATGTTAAACAGCAAAATTTGTATGTCATAATTTTTTGTTTATGTTACTATTAAAGTTTTTCCATTTGTCCTTAGGAGAGTGTGTGTGTTGTGTAACTCATGCTACTGTATACTTTCTGGACGTCAGAGGGGTCACAAGAGCATGGATTCGTGCACATCTCTGTGTGTGCGTGTGTGTGTGTAAGTGTGTTGTGTTCCCATGTGCTTGCAACTGCCACCCCACCCTGTCCCCCCATAAATGGGTTCTAGTGATTGAACTAAGGCTTGGCTGGCATACATCTTTACCCCCTGAGCCATCTTGGCAGCTTTAACTACTTCAAATTAAAATTGGAAAAAAAGTTCTGGTATACTGAATTTTGATGGAGATTGTTGCAAATTTGGGAGTGATGCTGTTTTGTCTCTCTCATTCATTATCCTTCTTTCCATTCTTCCTTATTAGACGGAATACCCCTTACAAAACCCTAGAGCCTGTGAAGCCTCCAACAGTTCCTAATGACTACATGACTAGTCCTGCGAGGCTTGGAAGCCAGCACAGTCCAGGCAGGACGGCTTCTTTAAATCAGAGACCAAGGACGCATAGGTAAGCCTTCTGTCTGAATATTTGAACTCTAAGAGCGTATGTTGCTGACAGGCAAGTGATAATTTCTAAAGGTACAGAGTACATGTAAGGTATTACTTTAATGCTGATAGTGAATGTAAAACTGATAACGTCAAATTTCAGGTTTTTTGTTTTTAATTTTTTTTCTCATTTGTGTATACTGTTACCAGATTATATTTCCTCTTTTTGACAGAGATACAAATACATGTTGGGATTACAAACTAAAGTGTGCTTTCTAGAGGCTGAAGGTTTAGAAGTTGGCATAGTGCTTGCCTATCATAGAGGAAGCTCTAGGTTTGATCCCCAGCAGCACATAAGGCAGCACCACATGCACCACATGTGTAATTGCAGCAGTTGGCATTTAGAGGCCGTAAGATCAGAACTTCAAGGTCATCCTCAAATAGTGAATTTGAGGCCAGCCTAGGATATATGAGACCCTATCTCAAAAAAACCAAACTGAAACCAACCAGCCAAACAAACAAACAAAAACCAAAGAAAGCTTAAAATTGTTTTACTCTCCTAAATTTGTATATAAGGTATTTTATGACATTTTATCAGCTCCACCTTCCTGACCCAAGAATGCTTTTGAATATACCTTTAAATGTTGTAAGGCTAGAGTTGTATAGATAGCTCAGGTATATCCTTAGTATGAATGAGGCTCCTGGGTTCATTTATTCATTAAAAAAAGGGCACAGAGAAAATACTCTTAAATGCTCTTACACAAAGGATTAAGTGCTGTAGAAGTTACATAGTGTAATTGAGTTCTAAAGAGTTAGATGAAGAACACTCAGCTTGTTTCTGAGGAAGATTTCTGAACAGTTGCTAACTGAGGGTGTGTTAACAATCCTCCAGAAAGCAGCTGCCCACAGGGCCTTTTGAAGCTCCTAGCTTGCTTATGCTTGCTGTTGCCGAGTTACAGGTTCAGAATATGGTTTTTCCTATAGTGAAGGTTTAATCTGACTGAGCCAATAGTTATTTAGAATGACCGAGTTAAATACCACTCAGAAACAAGTAAGGCATAGTGTTGTTGTTTATTTCCAGAAGCTCATTGTTTTGAAATACTAATATCTATTTTTAAAATGTATTTCTAAAATATTGTTATGTGAGGATTTTTGCATTATTTAATTGCTGTTACAAATGTAGCTTCATTACAGCCCTACAAAGTATGTAAATAAATAAGCATAGCTGTGGTCTAGTAAAATTTTACTTATGGTACTAAAATTTGAACTTCATATAATTTTAATGTTTTACGAAATATTCTTTTGAGTTTTCCCCAGCTATTTTTTTATGGAAGTGTTTTTTAAATTTTAATATTTTTTTTCTTCACAATTTATTCATTGTATATCCCAATTGAAGCTCCCTCACTCAACTCCCCCCAGTCCCACCTTTCCTCCCTCTTTTTCTCCATCCCCTTCTCCTGAAAAGGGAAGTTCTCTACTATTGCCATCTGCCCATAGCTTGTCAAGTCTCATCAGGACTGCCTGGATCCTCTTCCTCTGTGGCCTGGTAAGGCTGCATCATCAGGAACAAGTGATCAAGGACCAGTCAACAGAGTTCATGATAGAGGCAGCCCCTGCTCCCTCCTCACTCTGAGATCCACATGGAGACTGAGCTGCCGATAAGCCACATCTGAGCGCGGGGTCTAGGTCTTCTCCATGCACAGTCCTTGGTTGGTGCATCAGTCTCTGCAGGACCCCCTGGGCTCAGATCCTTTAGCTTTGTTGGTCTCCTGTCCCCTCCACGCCCCTCTATCCCCACCCTGCCCTCTGCGCAAAGTTTGGCTGTGATTGAGTCTCAGCATCTGCTTTGATCCCCTTTTGGGTGGATCTTTTCAGAGGACTCTCTGTAGTAGACTCCCATCCTGTTTCCTCTCTTCCACCGCTTCTGGTGTCTATCCTGTTTGCCATTCTGAATGAGATTTAAACATCGTCCCTAGGGTCCTCCTTAGTGTTTAGCTTCTTTAGGTCTGTAGATGGCTGTCCTATATTTTATGGCTAATATCTGCTTATAAGTGAGTATATACCATGCTACTCTTTCTGTTTCTGGGTTACCTCACTCAGGATGGTCTTTTCTTGTTTCATCCATTTGCCTGCAAATTTCATGATTTCCTTGTGTTTAATAGCTAAATAGTATTCCATTGTGTAGATGTATCACAATTTCTTTATCCATTCCTCCATTGAGAGACATCTAGAGGTATCTCCATCCCTGATCTCAAGCTGTACTGTAGAGAAACAGTAAAAAACTGCATAGTATTGGCATAGAAACAGACTGATTGATCAATGGATTTGAATTGAAGACCCAGAAATAAACCCACACACCTATGGACACCTGATTTTCGACAGGGATGCAAAACCATACAATGGTAAACCATACATCTTCAACAAATGGTGCTGGTCTAACTGGAAATCCCCATGTAGAAACATGTAAATAGACCCGTATCTATCACCCTGCACAAAATTAAAGTCCAAGTGGATCAAAGATCTCAACCTAAAATCAGACACACTAAATCTGTTAGAAGAAAAAAATTGGGGAAGAGCCTCAAACTCATTGGCACAAGAAATAATTTCCTGAACAGAATATCAACAGCTCAGGCTCTAAGATATACAATTAATAAATGGGACCTCATGAAATTGAAAAGCATCTGTAAAGCAAAGGACACTGCCAACAGAACAAAATGACAGCCTACAGACTGGGAAAAGATCTTCACCAACCCTACATCTGATAGAGGGCTAATATCCACAATATATAAAGAACTCAAGAAATCAAACACCAACAAACCAAATAATCCAATTAAAAAATGGGGTACAGAGCTAAGCAGAGAATTCTTAACAGAAGAATATCAAATGGCAGAGAAACACTTAAGAAATGCTCAACATCCTTAGTCATCTGAGAAATGCAAATCAGAATGACCCTGAGGTTTCACCTTATCAGAATGGCTAAGATAAAAAACTCAAGTGACAACACATGCTGGAGAGGATATGGAGAAAGGGGAACCCTTTTCCAGCTATTAAAAAAAAAAGTTAGTTCATTGGCAAAAATTGGGCTGTTGCTTGCCACCTCTTTTCTTTATGTTAGATAAAAGCACTGAAGTCAGTAAATGCAGAAGAGTTTAAGTGTACAAATATCCCTATGTCTGACACAAAGCTGAGTAGATTTTCTGGCTTGAATGACTGAGGATTTCATTTTTAAGCCAGCTTGTTCTATTGGTGGCTCTTCTTATTACATTGTGATAATCCAATAATAAATTAAACATTGGTGACAAAAATAAAAATCTTAACCCAGGCACTATAGATCTTTGGCTTGTTGGGTTTGTGGACATATTGAGCAAGCAATATTGCTTTTAAAATACAGTGTGAGCCAGGCAGTGTGTCATGTACTTGAAAGGCTCGTAGCTGGAGGGTCCTTTGGGATTAGAACCTTGACACTAGCCTGGGCAACATAGTGAGGGGCAGCTGTGCTCAACAGCTGTTACACTCAGCTATAAGGACAGTTCCTTGGCTTGGAGGAAGTTCAGTAAAGTTTCTCAGTAGCAGCTATTCTAGGCACTGAAAACTACCTACCTTTAAACTGTTTTCCCTTGTTACGCTCATTGTCTTAGTTACTCTTCTGTTGCTGTGAAGGGACACCATGGCCAAGGCAATTGTTACAGAAGGAAGCATTTAGTGCTTCTTTCAGTTTCAGAGGCTTAGTCTGTTATCATGACAGGAAGCATGGTGGCATGCAGGTAGACATGGTACTCGAGAAGTAGCTGAGAGTTCTATATTCAGATCCATAGGCAGCAGGAAGAGACTGTTAAAGCCACAGAGCCCACTCCCCAGTGACACAGTTCTCCAGTAAGGCCAAACCTACTATTCCTTCTCAAGTAGTGATACTCCCTGGGGTCCAAGCTCAAGTATGTGAGCCTGTGGGGACCATTTTTTTTCAAACCACACAATCCTTATATAGTATATTTTGTATTTGTTTGCTTGCTTTTGAGGCAAGGTCTAACTCTGTAGCCCAGGCTGGCCTGAAACTTGGTTATGCAGACCATGCCTCAAACTTATAGAGATCCACTTGTCTCTGCCTTCTCAGGGCTAGGTTTAAAGGTGTGTGCCCTGTACCCAGTTTGTTTGTGTTTTGAAAACATGGCTTTGATACATAGTCCAGACTCCTTCATCAGTCTCCTAAATGCAGGGATTACATAGGTGTGTGACACCAAGCCCATTTTACTTTTCTTTGAGATGGGTAGAATTTTAATGCTGATTTTTAGACAAGGATTACTCATCCCCCCCCCCATTTCATTTCCAATATCTTGTACATTTCATTTTGTTTCATAAGTTACACTAATTTTTGAGGCTGTTTTTTCATGTTCTGCTATTAAGTTCTGTGATGGTATTGTTCACTGTTCTTTTCAGAGAAAGAAGGAGGGGAAGACAGGAGCCTCATTATGTACCTCAGGTGGTTTTAGACTCAAGAACCTGTAGCCTTTGTCAGTGTTGATATTGTTGTTGCAACTACAACAGGCTCTTTACTCTTAATCACAGCAGGTGTTAAATGGACACTTGTAAGCTACTGTACTATGAGATTTTACTGTTCATACATTTTTAAAAATTATTATTAGTACCATTTTAAGACAAGGTCTCATTATGTGGTCCTGTCTGGCCTTGAACTCAAAAGATCCCCCTGCCCTCGAAGAGCTAGGATTAAAACAGTCAGGTAGAGCTTTGAGTACTGTGCTAGTTTGTTGGTCTCAGAGCTTTAGAAGAATAGTGAAACACAAGAACCATTTTAAGTATTAGGGTAAAGATTTATAACCAACATAAGATGAGTGTTTAGTAGCCTCTGTTTGTGATTTAAACATTTTTTAAATTAGATTGTAAAAATGATTTTTCTTTTTTTTTTTTTTTTTTAAAGATTTATTTCTTTATTTTACATATGAGTGCTCTATTTGCATGTACATCTGCATGACAGAAGAGGGCACCAGATCTTAGTATAGATGGTTGTGAGCCACCATGTGGTTGCTGGGAATTGAACTCAGGATGTTTGGAAGAGCAGACCGTGCTCTTAACCTCTGAGCCATCTCTCCAGCCCTAAAAATGATTTTTCAAATGCTTCTCTTTGTAGTGGAAGTAGTGGAGGAAGTGGAAGTCGAGAAAACAGTGGAAGCAGTAGTATTGGCATTCCCATTGCTGTGCCTACACCATCACCTCCCACTGCGGGCCCAGGTATGTTAGTATGCAATGTTTGCTAACTTTGTTATGGATGAAATTATTTATTCGATTGTGCTTATAACTTTGCTATAATAAAGACTAATAACCAATAATATTTTTAGATTCATTTTCACAAAGTTGTTGGGGTTTTACCAGCTGTATGTGTGGTACAGAGAAATACCTTTGTTAAGTCAGTTTTTGGCCATTTTGCTTTAGTAGTACTTGTCTTTTTATAGTTAAGAATGATGTTTATTATTTCAAAAGCAAATTATATTGTATGATATTTTATTCAGAAGGTCAGTATTGCTAAATGAATATATTTGTGACTTTCCTATTTATGTGTGAGATTCATCACCTATTTTAGTGAAATGTGGTGATTATAAGATGAAATTTAAAAATAGGGAAATAAATTTATTTTACCTTTTAAGAAAGTATTTAAGGTATTTTGGGAGAATATTCAGCTAATCCTTTAGAATTTAGTCAGTGAAATGTAGACTTTTTGAGATTGGTTACTTCTCTGTAGCCCAGGCTGCCAGAAAGGAAGACTCTTTACAGTATTAAAAAGCACACATTTGAAAGGTAATCATAATGAAAAAAATTAGAGGAAAATATTCTTAGCCTCTCAAATATATTCTTGAAGGGAAATGATCTGGATCTAATCACAGGCTCATTTTGTGGTTATTACATTTATAAACTCAAGGGCCTTTTTACCTAGGAAAATTCTTTTTGAGTGTGTTTTACATATGGATGTTTCTTTTTCTGTTTGTCTTTTGTCCAGTATGTTGTACTTCCCTCCCATTTTGGAACTTTTAGTTCTGATTTCTTACACTCTGACCTCAGTCATAAACTGTTGTGCTGGAAATCATTTGTGTCTTGCTTCCTGGAGCCCTGTGTCTCCCAGTGATCCCTGCTGAGACTGTGTGGGCATTGGGGAGCCATGAGATATATTTTACATATCTTCAATAAGCTTCTGTAGCTGGTAGATTGCAAGTTGTTACAATTTATATCATAGATGGTAATGCTAAAATTAAAGAATTAAATGTAATTATTACTAATTTTTTCTGGTGAAAGACAGTTGAAATTAACACTGTAGGAAAACACGGAGTACTCTTTACTACAGTAAGGCATGGTCCTGTGTATGGTTTGTAACCAGCTTCATGGGGGTTTTATTATTTATTTAGATTGAGGAAAACTAGCAGTTGTTGTTCAAAAATTATTTTAAATCAAAAGTGCTACTGGTGTCCTTTCAGTGTAGGAGACATGATTTGGAACTCTGTCTTGTATACAGCCAATCCGAGGGCTAGGATGAAGGTGGAAACAGGGAGTGGAACATGGAAAATGGAGTGTGATGGGATGCTCTGATGCTGTCCTTTGGGATCATTCCTTAAAAATTTTTGATGTAGCCTAGGTTTTAAGATAGCTGAGAATGCTATGAAATAACTTTCTTAATAGGATGCATTCAAATAGTTTTCAAGTTGGGAAGGACTGTACTGGGGAGCTCACTCACATCCTGAATCCCACTGTCAGTGATTGATTAAATAAATCGGAATGAGGTGAAGCTATGTTATATAAATGAAGGTTTATTGGGAGCAGAAAGGGAGGGGGAAAAGGAGGCTTGTGCTGGTGGCGGGGGCAGAGAGCAGGAAGGGGGGAAGGGTGTAAAGGGGGCTGTAGAACCAAGATGTCTGGATTATATAGGGAAGGGCCTCAGGGAAAGAAGCCCTGCCTCTGGGAAAGAAGGCCCGCCCCTAGGTAAAGGGCAGGGTGTGGCAGCCATACCCTGCAGCAGGTAGGGACTTGGAGGCAGAAGCAGGGGTCTCTGTTGTACAGAGAAACACTGTCTTCAAAAACAAAATCAAAATTCTACATTCAGTTTAGAAGTATACAGTTCGGATAAGAATATTGAGATGTCTCATGAGAACTGAATTCAATTTAGGTAAAATCAATGACATTTTTACATATGCTGAGGAAAAGGTGGAGAGGTAAGAGATGGATGGAGATAATACAAAAAACTGTAGATGCAGAAGTTATTGAAAGAAAGTCTGTGAAAATAAAGTGCTTTCCAGCCTACTTAATAACTGGAAAATGATCATTGAAACCACAATGAGAGGCTATGTTTTAAAAATGATTTATTTATTCATGTATTTTATGTATATGAGTGCTCTGTCTTCATAAACACCAGAAGAGGCAATAGATACCGTGATAGGTGGTGGTAAGCCACCATGTGGTTGATGGGAATTGAACTGAGGATCTCTGGTGCTCTTAGCCACTGAGCCATTTCTCCAACCGAGATGCTGTTAAGAATAGCACCTAAGTACTTAATAACAGTAATTATTAACAGTTGTTACAAAAATCAGAAAACTACACCAGTTTACATTTTATTGTTTCAGTTGTTACTTAACCTGGATTATTTAGCCAGATAGAATTTGCTTATCACTGGATAAGCAAAAATGTAAACATCCTTATGTGCCAATCTTGAAGGGGGTTTGTGGACACAGATAGTATGTTGCTGGTGGAGGTTGTTAATGTGCTCACTTTACAAAAAACTCCATTGTTGCCTAGTCAGGTTAAACCAGCATCTTTGTCAGTTTCAGTTTTACATATTAGCCTCAGAGTGCTAATTCTCAAAATACAAGTTCTTTAAAAGATCTCTTCATAGGTTTTTGAGGTCAAAACTGTATTCATTATTTATCTTTTTCATTCTGTTAGAACTTTTTTCTAGAGGTTCCATGAAGTTGTTGTGAACTTGTATATTAATGCACTGTAAAGCTGTGACAGTTTGAATTTGAATGTGGTTGTTATTTATAACCCACTCCAAGGACAGCTTTGGGGTCCTCTTAATTTTTAATTTAAAAAAATATTTATTTATTTTATTGTGTATACAATGTTTTGCCTGCATATACACCTGAATGCCAGAAGAGGGCACCAGATTTCATTATAGATGGTTATGAGCCACCATGTGGTTGCTGGGAATTGAACTCAGAACCTCTGGGAGAGCAAGCAGTGCTCTGAGCCATTGCTCCAGCCCTTAATTTTTAATTTTTAAGAGTGGACTCAAAGACAAAAGCATTTGCTACCCACTTATTTAGAGCACTGACTTTCAGAGCAGGAGGCCCAAATTGGTTATCAACATGGAGGAGAAACTAGGTAGAAATTTCAGTGCTCATAACCCATCCTAGACCTACTTTGTTAAAAACTCTGAAGAGAACACAGAAATCCACATTACAACAAACTCTTAAGCTTCATCAGTGCTGAAGCTTGAGACCAGCTGTCCTAGGGAAATTCAGGGACTATGTTTAGCAGTACTCATTCATAAGAAGTAATATTTTTAGTAGTCTTAAGAATAGCACCTAAGTACTTAATAACAGTAATTATTAACAGTTGTTACAAAAATCAGAAAACTATATCAGTTTACATTTTATTGTTTCAATTATTACTTAACCTGGGTTATTTAGCCAGATAGAATTTTGAATTGCGTTCTGAAACTTGGCTGTGGAGAGGAAGTTGTTTGTGTAAAGCAGTTATGAATGACCAGTAGCTAACAGCTGGTGCATTACCTCAGACTATCTGTGGTACTTATTTTATTGGAGAGTTTACATATAAAAAATTCTGTACAGTTGTCCTACGTTTCCTCAGATGATTGATTCTTGGACACCTCCACCCCCAAAAGATACAAAATCCTTATAGATACTCAAATTTCTTATAAAAATGGCATGGTACTTGGAGATAACTTTCACATGTGTTCCTTACTGTATATTTCATATTATCTCTAGGTTACTTATACCAATACAGTGTAAGTGGTCTGAGTGGATTGTCAAGGAAAAACTCTGAAAATGCACATTTAGATTACAATTAGCAATAGGGAAACAGAATGTGGGATTGTGTTATTGCAAAGGTTTAACAATGCCCCATATCCACTTTTGTAGCTCTTTACACTCGCTGACCTCTTGTTTAGAAACTTTAGAAGTAGAGCTAATTTGGTTTTCATCTTCCTATTTCTTTATTTTGTGCTCTGGGCTTTACAAAGTAGTAAGAGTCCCCTCCCCCTCCTGCCACTTCGGGTGTTTGTAATGCTTTGTTGGTTGCCTTTGACTAATGCTTTTCAGCAGCCCCTGGCGCAGCTCCTGGTTCCCAGTATGGCACAATGACCAGGCAGATTTCTCGACACAACTCTACCACTTCTTCGACATCTTCTGGTGGATATAGACGAACTCCCTCTGTGACTGCCCAGTTCTCTGCTCAGCCTCATGTTAATGGAGGTCCACTTTATTCTCAAAATTCAAGTAAGCTTGTGTTTTGCAGGCATACAGCAATGGTGGAGCTCCTTTTGAATGAAATTATTTGAAACTGTTATTTTTGACTGTGATAGACAACAATTTAAGCCATGCTATTTTATGCTTATTGTTGTTTAGAATGTTAATCCTTGAATAACCACCTTAAAAGTAACTGCTTATTACTTGTTTCCAAGGTTCACTTGAGTATACTTCATCTACCAAAATTCAACAAATGCTTTAATGTGCTACTAGTATTACTACAGTATAATTTAAACTAGAGAACAAAACAATCTTAAATTCTATCAGCATGATTTTGATGGTTTAGTAATGATACAACAACACAAATGTAGCAAAGATTTTTTTTTAATTTAATAAAAAGAAATTGCTGGCTATCACTTCTAAGGTAGTGATATCTCTTGAAATGCTTTCAATTGAAAACATTTACAATGCCTGCTTACGTTCTCTGTCTGAATAATTCTAACACATGGGAAGTATTTTCTTTTGATTTCTTTCTGTGCACTTCAAATTGCACATCTCAATACTAATTACAGCGATTGCTTAAAAGCTTTTACAGCATTCAAAAATAGACTTAGAATTAGAAAGAATAGGTTTGGATATCTGAGGATAGTCATTGAGTTCACGTTCCCTGTTAAGATGCAGAATCCACAAAGGAAACAATTTTTAAAAAGCCTGTTGTTTGGTATTTGTTTTTCTCACGAAGTTACTGGGTGTGGACTGACAGTTTTTCAGTGTTTCTTGAACTGAATGCTCCATGAAATAATGACTACTCTGAATTTGCCTGGGACTTTGCTTGGTTCTTTTTATTTATATTTCATGTATACTTTTCTTTTTTGTTTGTTTGTTTTTTGGTTGGCTTTACTCTGTAGCTCTAACTGGCCTGGTGCTGCCTAACTCATACTGGCCTTAAACTTGCAGCCCTCCTGCTTGTTGGGATTACAGGCAAACAACACCATGACTAAAAGCTGTTGGTCTTTTGTTTAAATTTTTGAGTTACAGAGTGATTAGGTTACAGCAAGTTGAAATCACTTTGGCATAAATGTCTGTATTCATGGAGAACCCTAGATTTATACAAGTTTTTTCCAGACTAGAATTTTCATTTAGGCTACAATGAAATATTAAACTACTGTTCATTATTTTACCTAACACTCCCCCTTAATGTTACCGAATAGTAGCTTAGTGTCTGACTGTTTCACAACTCAATCATTTATCCCACTAGGGTCTTCTTTTGATACAGGCTGTTTTGGAACTCTGGAGGTCAGGCTAGCCTTGAATTTAGAGATCAACCAGCCTCTGCCTCCTGAGGTCTGGGTTTAAAGGCATATGCCATCATGATGAATTAGTTGTTTATCCCACTAGTTTCATGAACTTTCTTTCCATTTTTTCTGCCTTTTTAGATCTCATTTATGTTCATTATCTCTCTTCCCCCACTTTGTCTTCTAGTTTATTCTCAAATTGGGTTTTTATTTCACCAGTCCACACTTGTCTAGTTTAACTCACAAATGTTTGTGGGGAACTTCCTTGTGAAGTCTGCATTCTTTTTGATGCCAGAAAGCAAACTTAGCCTCAGGTATCAGGCATATTTTTTCTTACTTAGGTATCCTGTGTGAACTGCTGGTGTTGCTTTACTTATTCGTGGCCGTGTTTAGTGTTGTGATGTGCTTGTTTTCCTCTCAGTGCATATGCTGGTGATGGGCATCTTCATAGCTCATCTCTTTCTTCTCCCACAACTAACAAGCATGACTACTCACCAAGGGTTCTTTCTGGAAATTATTTTGGCAAATGGGAGGCCTTTTTGGTTGTTTTTGTTTGTTTTAAAATCATCACTATGTAAGCCTTTAACTAGTCTTCTTTGTAACAATGACACACAAGTTTCTGGTGAACTGAAAGCTAATTTTAGAACTGTAGGAAATGGTGAACCGAATGCTATTTTTAGATCTGTAGGAAATACCAGTGCATTTATATTTCACTAATTTTTAACTTGGAACCTCTTTCATGTTTTTATGCTTACCAGCTTTATTGGAAACCAATAAAGTTGTTTTTCTTGCTTAGTGTAATATCACTTATTTGTAGACAGTGGGAAGCCAAGTCTTTCCTTTTAAACTGCTGACTTGTTCTGAGTCATCTTCAGCAATTACTGTCTTGTTAGTGAGACAAAGTAAAGAAGTCTTTGCTTCTAATTTGTCAGTCTTTCATACATTAGGTAGTCACATGAACATTTGATATCGATTTCCTATAAAGTATCACCTGAAAAAGTTTATACATGTTTTAAGCCAGCCACTATCTCATTAGACATCAATATAATGCAAATAATTGTATATTTTAATAGATTAGAGATTACCTTTCCTTTTTCAGTATCCATAAAAAGACCATCTTTGTTGACTTCCCCTGAGAAACTGAATAATCTCAAGGTACATGGAACATTCTTGTCCCTTAGTAAGTTTAGGGCTGATTTCTTACAAAATAAAGCTGACAACTTAAAAAGTAACAAAATCTTATTTTATAAGTGTAGAAGTATGTAAATTTAGACATATAAGAAATTTCTTTAAAGGAAACTCATGATTAATGTATTGTTTATCAGTGTATTTATACCTGTAATCAACAGCTATTATGCATATATTTGGTTTCATGGTTATAAACATTACCTTAAAGGTAGATAAATCTGTTAGTTTGTAGAGTTACAGCAAAAACAGTATTTTGGAAGGATCTGTAGGTATTTAATTGCGACATATTTTAGAAGTCTTTCTTTAGAGATTGAAAAACAGTGCACTAAAATGTTATAGTAAATTAAAAAGTTTCCCCAAATAATGTAATGTAAGGCTAAAAGGAAGTGTGTTTGTTACTCTACGCACTTACCCATGTGGCTGAGCACAACTTGGCCTTAGGTTCTGTGGGGACAAGAACTTGAAGAGGGTAGCAGGGTTTGTTTGTTTGTTTTTGTTTTGTTTGTTTTCATTTGCAGACTGTTCTTGGCATACTTATTTATGTTTGTGGTCCTTGTAACTGACTTCTGCTTTTTGTTTGTTTCCTTTTCTTTATCTGTTTTATTACCCACACTGTGTCTTGCTGCCAGTTTCTATTGCCCCACCTCCTCCCCCTATGCCTCAGTTGACTCCACAGATTCCTCTCACAGGCTTCGTGGCCAGGGTGCAGGAAAACAGTAAGTCTGGAAACAACAGCTGTCAGAGCTTAGAGGCTGTCTCCTCTAGCATGCATGGCTGATGAGTCACCTTTTCCTTCTTACTGAGAAGCTAATCTTACCTTAAAGAATAGGTACAGATGTGTGTACTGAAACTGAAGAGCACGGGCTTCAGTTCTTTTCTCTTGTGTGCATGACTACTGACCCATATCAATTTCAAATCTGCAGTTTTCTTAAATATTTAGATGATCTGAGACATGAGATTGGTTAGTTGAATATTTTTAAGCAAGGAATACTGAAAAACAAGAATGCAAATTTTAAGGAAATCCCTAATAGTTATTGGGAGAATTAGAATACATTTTGCAGCTGGGTATGGTGGTGCATGCATATAATCCTGAACCCTTGGAAGGCTGAGTTAGGAGATCTTCATATTTATTAAGTGAGACCTTGTCTTTAAAACAAAACAAAACAAACCCCCAAGCCAAAACAACAGTGAAAACAATGTACTCTTAACAGATTTGTTGAGATATAATTATTCTCTACATTTATTAGGAAATTGACAGTGCCCCTACTCCTTCCTTTAGTAGCACAGTATTTTTAGAAAGGGCCAGTGAAATGAAGTGGATGAAGACCCTTGTCATGAGCCATGACAATCTGAATTCAAATCCCAGATCCCACATGGTGGAGAGAAAGAATTTACTCCTGTGAGTCGTTCTCTGATTTCCACACATATACAAGATGAATAAACATAAAAAAGTAATGGGAGAATGAGTGTAGATTCAAATCTATATGAAGCTTCATTACTAAGAATGGATCTTGGGGACTAGAGATACAGCTCAGTGGTTAAGAGCACTTGTTGCTCTTGCAGAGGACCACAGTTCAGTTCCCAGCACCCAAACAGCAGCTCACAACAGTCTATAACCCCAGTTCCAGAGAATCCAGTACTGTGGGCTCTGCACTCATGTAATACATGTAGGGAAAACACTCATCTACGTAAAAATAAAAAAATCCTGAATTTCCAAGAATAAGCAAATCACATGCACGTTGTCCATCTGAGGGGCTGCTGAGAAAGGTGATGTTTGTCTTATGCCCTGGCCAATAAGTGAGTGATGCTGGTCCCTGAGGTCACATTCCAGGTGTGAAACTGTCAATTTTCTTAAAGCTTTATTTTAGTGAAGATTAGGTTTAGTAATTTACATTAAATGTATATTTATGTATATATAATATGTTAATATCACATGCATGCTTAATTTAGGTAGATATTATCATTGCTGATAACCTTTGAGGTTACAGAAGATCCTACATGTCCAGAGTGGCTATTGTGTGGCAAATGAAAAATACAGTTGCTTAATTATTCAGAGTCAAACATTGAAAGTAATAATTTACTTTAGGGAATCTCCCTAAATATAAATTTCAGAATTGTTTAAGTAATGAGCAACTGCTTGAGCAGCCCATTCTTCAGGAAAATATATTGGTTGCAAATTTTATGTCTGTTTTGGCTGGCTCTTACATTGCTTCTTTCATTTCCTTCCTTTCACCAACTGAATAATGTTTTTCAGTGTGAAATGCTAGGTTCTGGTAAGGATTCAAACAGTTTAAGACAGTCTCTCTTTTTTTTTTTTTTTTCATAAGATAAGGGGCTTATTGTAAATATAGATTTAGAGTTTTGAAATTTCTGAGTGTAAGACTTTTTACTATTCAGTTTAAAAATCTTATGTTCAGGTATTTTAAATTAAATGAATTACAGGTATTTAAAATAAGTGATAAGGGCAAATCATTAGTTACTGCTGCTCCCTTCTCCATTTTTAATGTTCTTGGCAGTTGTACCCAGGGCCTGTACATCCTAGTTAAGCTGCCCTTAGACTGAGCTACGTTCTCAGTGCCTGGGTTGGGCTCTCCTGTACACTGAGCTGACCTTGCAGCAGGGCCCTCAGCCTCCTGAGTGCTGGGACGGAGGTGCGCTCACCGTGCCCAGGATGCTGCTGTTTCAGAGATTAGAATTTCTAGGAAATAATTCTAGGAGCCATTGGACATCAACTTTGTGGGTCTAGAGATTATTGACTAATTGGTAACTGGAAAAAACAAAACCCAGTATTCTTTTGCATTATTGCTAAAGAGACACCTTGACACAACTATTTCTGTTCTTTTTTTGCGGCACATGATGTTAAGCTTATTATTCTTACTCCACTGATATTCCAAGTTTTATTTCCAAGATTTTTTAAGAAAGTTAAAATTGAGAAATTGTATATCTACACTCTAAATATTTTATAAGTACTCATATTTTATGTGTTTTTAAATGCCAGTGTTCTAGTGCTCAGAGGAAAGTGACAATAAATAGATGTAGCTGGAACCTAAGATAGGAGCCCCTAATCACTTACGACTTTCATTAGTAACATCAGAAAGGCTTTTGGATGAAACATGCATAGTGTTAGGTATTAGGGCAAAAAGGTTGGATAAATCAGACCTTACCATGAAATTGAAGGTAGGCTGATGTATACTTCATGGCAGTTGAGTGGAAATCTTCAACTAGTTCATTGTAGGAATGAACAGTGACAGCTGTTTCTGGACTCCAACAAACATGTAATGTATACACAAAGCCAGTTAAGGGTATGTGCTGTGGTTGTTTGATGTCAGGAGGGTCGTACCCGTTCTCCTCCACATCAGAAAGCTTTATGGAGGAGATGGCAGAGGTAGGCATAAGTAGATCCGTGCATGGGGTAGACAGCCCGACTGCTGACCTGTTTTTATCACTGAGTGAGCATCACCCCGTGAAAATTACTTTTATTGTCTTTTTCATCTCAAGGATAAAAGTAAAAATCACAGAATTGAAGCAGCAATGAAGTAGGACTATTTATTGTCTGCCACCTTCAATCTTGGCTAGATTTTCAACATACTGTCCAAAGTCAGGAAGAATAACCTTTAAAACCTACACCAGTGTATATAAGTACATTTTCCTTCCTTTTTTCCTTTTTACTCTCTCTCTTTAAAAAAAAAAACAACAAAAAACAAACAAGAGCCTCTTTATATAGCTATGGATGGCCTAGAAGTAGCTGTGTAGACCACACTGGCCTTGAACCCACAGAGATCCACCAGACACACCAGCTTCTGACTTCCAAGTGCTGGGATTAAAGGCATGCACCACCTTTCCTGATTTTTTCCCCTTTCCCTTAAACTTTTGACAGATTTGTGGACTAGAAGGTTGAGCATTAGTTGTGTTAGCTTTGAATTTCTTAATCCTAGGAGCACTGGAGGCCCAGTAGGTGCAGTTCTGGCCCCACACAGCCATTCCGCTGTGAACATTTCAGTCCTTTACAGCACATGCGCACGCCTAGAGTCTGAAGTGTGATTCATTTTATTGTTTGTTTACTTTTGTTTATTTTAAGATTACTGCATCTTCAATATTTTATGTTTAAATCTTAATTGTGCTTACGTTAGAAATTGGATCTTTAGGATCTGCTCCCATCTCATGCATTTGTTTTATTAGCCATAATGCACAATCTTAGTTTCCTTTCTACATTAAATTTTGATTATCAATATAACATTCTTTTAAATATACTTAATGCAATTTTCTAGTTGGTAATTATTTTTTTGTTTCTGTTAAAATTGTAGTAAGAATAGAAAACAAGCAAACAAAACCCTACACAAAGACGCAAACCTGACCTGATACTAGCAACTTGGCTTTTCTCTCCATTAAAACAAACAAACAAAAAATATGTTCACTTAAAATGTAGTTTCTACAGCACTAAAGCTATTAGAAGCCAAAACTGAGGGCATGATATCCATAGTAAAAACTATCAAACCTTTAATGTTAGATTTTTAAAAAATGTATATATTTTTTTATTCACATTATATCCTGGTTGTAGCTAATGTAAGATGTTTAATGCTATTCCAAATGACAGTTTCCTTAGGTAGCCAGGCCTAGTAGAGCTTTGTTTTTTTACCTGAGTCTTATGTAAGGAAACTTCTTTACTCCTGTAATTCTTGTGAAAGTAGATACTATATTCTAACCTCTTGCATTCATTAATTTTTAGTACCGATTTTGCTTAATTTAGCTCATTTTATTATTGCAGAATTATGCTAAAAAGCAGTATAAATGTTAACACACCCAGCTTTTATTTCTAATCACTGCATGCTTTATATAGTGCATGCTATATTGTTAAATTCTGTTAATTTTAAATTTTTCCTTAAGACTGATTACTTGTCTGATCCTTTTAGTTGCTGACAGCCCAACTCCACCACCTCCTCCTCCACCAGATGACATTCCCATGTTCGATGACTCGCCACCTCCTCCGCCACCTCCTCCGGTGGACTACGAAGATGAGGAAGCTGCAGTAGTTCAATACAGTGACCCATATGCAGATGGGGATCCTGCATGGGCTCCCAAGAACTACATTGAGAAAGGTGGGGCACTGTCACCACATATCCCTACAGTTTTACTACTGTTTATTACTTACCAGTCAAGATGGTAACCCTCACTTAATCCTGACTACATACAAAATTGTTAGATGTACATTTTCAAATCGTGTGCTTCTAGCATCAGATTAACTTGCTTGCATGTGTTTTATAGATCAAACAGTTAAGGCACAAAACTGAGCTAAAGTCTTTGCTGAGGTCATAAGTAATTAGTGATTGTAAACATTTCCTCTGACACCACATCTTCTTTTGCCTCTCCTCTCTCCTTTCCCTCTAGTCTCTCTCTCTCTCTCTCTTTTGTTTTTAATCAAGGGCAGGTATAGTGTAGATTTTGCAGGCTATATTGGCTCAATTGGTTTCTGGCTTAGAGTTGGACATTGATATATGTGAGTAGATATAGCCATGTTCAGTAAAATTTTTATTTACAAAAATTGGCAGTGGGGGCTGGAGAGATGTCCTAGAGTTGAGGGTATTTCTTGCACTTGCAGGTTCAGTTTCCAGCACCCACATGGTGGCTCACACCAGTCTATAACTACAGTTCTAGGGGATCTGGTGCCTTCTGACTCCCAGCACCAGGCACACATTTGTACATACAGATACGCAGACAAAACACTCATCCACAGAAAATAAAATTTTAAATACGTAAATCTAAAAAAAATGAATTGCAATGGTTTAGATTTCCCACAGGGCTATTACTACTTTTTAGTGGAAATCAAGTTAATATTTAGTAGACTTTAAGCCAGGCATGATGGTATATACCTGAAATCATAGCACCCAGGAGGATCATTGTAAAGTTCACTGTAGCCTGTTCTACATAGAGATTATATCATCCTTTTGCCATGGGCAAAGAAAAGAGTTCATAGGATTATTATCATAGGATTGTCATAAGGATTCTGTTGCTGTGGTAGAACAACATGATTGAAATCAACGTGGGAAAAAGGAGTTTGCTTCTTACAGTTTAGAGAATTCGGGACAGGAACCTAACATTATGGAGGAGTGCTGCTTAGTGGCTTGCTTTTTTAAGCTTGCTCAGCCTGCTTTCTTATGGCATCCAGCATTGCCTGCCCAGGAGTGGCAACAACTGTAATGGGGCGCTGCCACGCACCTCAGTCAACAGTCAAGAAAAATGCACCACAGATTTAGAGGCCAATCTTATGGAGACATTTTCTCAGTTAAGATCCCCTCTTCCCAGATAGATTTATGGCTTGTGTCAGGTTATTGAGTGCACTTATATTTAAAAATACCACTTTTGTAAGGACAACATAATGAAGCCTGTTTAACTTGGATCAGTAATTGGACGTAACTATTCCAAAAGCTTAGTTTTTGTTGATAACTCAATTTTAGTCTAATGTATGCTAATGTGATTCTATTCTAATAGACTTAAATTCCAGAGAGCCTTTACAATACATATAGAAGGGAGAGTTTGATCCTTTATCTTGGTTAGTTCCTGGAGAAGAGAGTCAACATCAAATCATTATTAATGGTTAAGTCATGGTAAGATTAATTATATGAGGGAGTATGCGCATTGAGACGAGACCCTTACACTTAAAGGAAACTAGAAAACAACAGCAGTACTTTTCTGAGGCATCTGCATAAGATGAACTAAGAACACAAGAAGACTTGAATGCTTTGGGTCTTGTCAGTCAGTATAAGTCAGTCTGACCACTGAATCTCACCTCCTGTGAGTCTACAAGAATGTTACGTTATCTATGGAAGTTTTCTTAATAGTTGTTGATTTTTTGCAGTCACTTCATCCTTTTAGCTAGTTATTTAGCCTTTCTTTTTTTTTTCTCTCTCTCTCTTTTTTCTTTCTCTCTTTATTTTATTTTTATTTTTTTTAGAGACAGGGTTTCTCTGTGTAGCCGTGGCTGTCCTGTACTTGCTTTATAAGACCAGGCTGGCCTCAAACTCACAGAGATCCACCTGCCTCTACCTCCACGAGCGCTGGAGTTACAGGTGCACACCACTGAGCCGAGCTAGCCAGATATTTCTTATAATATTTGATTATATTTCTTTTGTGTATTTTAAAGCTTTGATCACTATTGATAACGTAATCATTGTAGTGTGACTTTGTTGTAGAGCTAAAATGGAAGGAAATGGGTTTGTTGAATCCACTTCCTACAGTGTAGTAGACACTGCCTGTTTAACTTAACAAATGATGGCAGTCGATCACAACTTCAAGTCATTCCCTGCTTCACTCTTTTAGAGTTATTAGGAGACAGGCCATGTTTTTTTAGAGGAAAAATAATTCTGAACTACCATAAGTGTATTAAAAAATCCAGATTTCAAGAAAAAAAAAAAAAAAAAAAGAGACTGCCTACGAATAAATGAAGTAAATAAAATATCACATGTGTGTATCATTCACATATAGTAGAAAATTACATAATTTTAGAATTAGTTATTTAAAAATGGATTTAAGGGAATATTTAAATTCATAAACTAACAATATAAAAAGTAGTGCATATAAGTTGTTTTTTCCTTTCTATAACAATGGAAAGATAAAATATGTTAACTGCAAAGGTATATCTTAAACTTTGTGTCACAATTGCTGGGTTTTCCCTTACTTTTGCCATCTTTAAAAACAAAACTTAAAGGAGTAGAATTTTTTTTTTTAATTTTAAAATCTTGAATTTATCCCCATCAGTTAACATGGGATTTTGAATAAGTGGATTTATTTCCCATTAAATGTGTGGTGCACTCAAATTAGACATCTTGAGTTGTTACCTGGTTTACTGAATGGCTATGTAGCTTTGTGTATAATGCATTTATAAAATGGCACTTTGCTTAGATACTCCATGTATATTTGTCTGAATCAATAGAAATACTGACCAAGCTCCAAATTCTGTTGGAGTGCAGACTGATGATAATCCTAGCTCTTGGGGTGTTAAGGCAAAACCAAAACTCTGAGACCAGTCTAAGCTAAATAGTAAGAGCTTGTCTCAGAGAACCAAAACAAAACTAAAACCACCTAAATTCAAGGATTTTAAAATTGTTACTTCTTTTATTTTATGGGGGAGTGTATATGCCACTTGTGTTTATGAAGATCAGAGTTCTCTTCTACGATGGAGGCCTCTAGGGGTCAAATTCAGATCATTACGCTTGGCAGCAAGTGCCTTTACAAGCTAAGTCATCTCACTGGTCCTCTGATGTTTCTTAACGAGGTTTAGTAGAACCCAGTGCCGCCTTTAGTGTGATCATAATTGTCACCCTGACCATAGTAGCAGGTTAGTGATTTAGAGACTTGGTTGGTCACTTACTTACACTGATAGAAAAATACCAGCTGGGTGGTAGTGGTGGTACATGTCTTTAATCCCAGCACTCAGGAGGCAGAGGTAGACAGATTTCTGTGAGTTTGAGGCCAGCCTGGTTTATAGAGCATGTTCCAGAATAGCCAGGGCTATACGGGGAAACCTTGTCTAGAAAAAATTTAAAAAAATGAAAGAAAATGAAGGAAGGAAAGTTAAGTCCTCCTAGGTTTTCCTATACTATAGATTTATTTGGCATTACATTTTAAAATTCAAATATTGGCGATAGTTCTCACATGTCATACTTTGTTTCCTCCACAGTTGTTGCAATATATGATTATACAAAAGACAAGGATGATGAGCTGTCCTTTAAAGAGGGTGCAATCATCTATGTCATAAAGAAGAATGATGATGGCTGGTTTGAAGGAGTTTGCAATCGAGTGACTGGACTCTTCCCTGGGAACTATGTTGAATCAATCATGCACTATACTGATTAGTGTTTTTTCTTTTATTTCTTTTGCTTTCTTTTCATGTAGGTTATTACTCCATTGTACTGTGGGACTGTATGGTTAACAGAATTGTTTTAATGTTTAAAATGTGCCCATATTTTCAGGACATGTTTTACCGGTATATTTGGGTGTCTACCTGTAAGCATAAATTTTGGAAGCAGTTCAAATATTGCTGAACAGCAATTCATACCGGAGACTGCCTGTAATTGATTATGCGTATGTACTCACATATTGATAGTTTGTGACCAGCCTAAATATTCTGGGAATGTGGATTATTCTGTTTAACAAATCATGGTTCAGTATGCACCATTACATGTTTCAGTGCAGCGTGGTCACTAACATGTCCGACTAATAGGAAAATCAGAGAAGTTCAGTGCTGGTGCTGGTCAGACTTTTGGTTTCAATTCTCATTTAAAAAAAATACTGTGTTTAAAGCATGCATAAAATTTTATGTATTGAAATATACTTAACAATTCAAGATGCTTCCAATTTGTGTAACACTTATCTGGAGTACTCATACTTGAGTCTCTTAAGTTCTCCATGAAATGAAAGATTATCTGTAATGTTGTAATTTGTATCTAAGTTTTTTAATGGGTAAAATTTGCATTATAAATTTTTCCATTCATAAATATATAAGTGAACCAAAGGATTTTGCTCTCTCCTTTACTGGTTTGCTTTAAACGTGTGTGTTTGTGCATATGCAGGCACACATCCTCCCCCCCCCCCGCCAAAAAAAACAAAACAAAACAAAACAAAAAAAAAAAACAACCCAAAAAGATTTATTGTAGAATTATGGTTCTATTTTCTCAATGCATTAGCCTGAAGATATTTTTAGCTTTATCTTAATGTGACAGAATTTTGCAGATTTTGGAGCTAAACAGTGTGTCAAAGTAAGCATATGATATTCTATGTGTAAGAATCAGAAGGAATGCCACACTAGTCCTTTGGTCTTAATTAGACTGAATTTACACTGGTTCAGTGAAAGGAATTTAAATATTGTAAACATGGATGCAGTTTGTGGATAGGCATATTAATCCATTACCTGGGACTAGCAACATAAAATTTTACAGTAATTAGAAAAGAAAGTAGGCCATGTATTAATTTGGAAACAGGTAACAAGCAGGTTTGTATTGTAACTGAAATGCAACACATGCACTTTGTGTGTCTCCTTGATTAAGGGAGGGCTTGAGGGATATGTCTTTTGTATATAATTGTACTGCTTCGGATATTAAAGTAGATCACACAAGTGTGGGTTTCTATGTATTGAGAATTACATTTATGACAGTATAGTAAATGGTGAGAGTGGTGCAAATTATTTCTGAAAATTAAAGACCATTGTTCCTACCAAATCAGTAACTATTCATATATATTTTACCTTTGTTATTTTTGAAGTATTATATCATTAGTGATCAGATAGCTATATTATGCTTTTTCTTTTTGAAGCAGAATGTTTTCTTAATTTGTAAATAACCTGTTGTCTAAATTTTATCTACAGTCTTTTATAATAAACTATGCTCCTATATGAAAAAATTTGGATATTGTTAAAATATAACTAATGTGGATTTAAATTTAAATACAGACTTAAATTCTTTGGCCTTTAATCTTATGGTAAACACAAAGACAAACCACTTGAATTTTAACGTTGATTATTTATTTGTGTAATGGCTTTACATGTGGGCATTAACAGTGTAAACAATACCACATATAACCATCAGGATACCTCGATTAGAATTTATAGGACTATAATGACACTGGTTTAATTACATTTAAAAAGTTTACTGAAAAACTTTGCCAATAAAAAAAATTGCCCATCAATAGTAAGGTTGAAATTATTTTCTAAAATGATTTTTGGTTATCTGCACATGAAGCAAATATCATTTCACAAAATTCATTAGGCACAGTCTGGTAAAATAGCTGCCAGAAAGAACAGAAAGTATAGTCATTTGTCTCTTGTGAGGACACTTTCTGAAAGCTGAATGAGGGCATCCCTTTCTGTGGATGGTCTAAGTTTCCTGATCTCTCTCACTGCTTCGTGACAGTACTGCTGGGCGAGGTAGGTAGTTTGTTGCACGCCGTCACTCTACAGGAGACAAAAAAAAAAAAAAAAAGCAGAGATCACTGGTCAGCTCCTGGATTGCTGATTTATGATAGATTAATACCTTCTGAGATCAGATGAGTCAGACTATGCCTGAGGTTCTTTTCCCAGCAAGTGGCTGCCGATTTCTGTACTTTACCTCTTCATATGTAAACACTCTTCTTTAGCTCTCTCACACATGCAGAGATCAGCTGTCATGCAGCCAGCCATTTACTGTTATTTTTACAGAAGCATTAAGACTTTTAAAAACTTCTACCTAATCTGGGTGCTGGTGGTGCACATCTTTAATCCCAGTATTTGGGAAGCAGAAGCAGGTGGATCTCAAGCGTTCGAAGCCAGCCTAGTCTATAGAGTGAGTTCCAGAACAGACAAGGCACAGAGAAACCCTGTCCTATGAAAAAACAAACAACCAAACAAGCAAGCAAACAAGAAACCTTCCTGTTTTAAAATGAAAATCTAAATGGATGAAAAAGCTGGTTTCTGCCATCTGTTGCCTTTCCTGTTGGAAATGACATAGCCTATCTACAGAGTTTCCTAATCTAAGCATTATCTCACTGACTTAAGTTCTTTTGTGGATTACCTTTGCCATCATGCAGATTAACTTCTAGTTTCCTCTTGTATGAGGACACCATTACTTCTGTCTCCTTTGTGCCATTAAACACTTCTCTGAGATTCACAATCAGTTACTGAGAATACAATATTCTTAGTATTTGGGTGAAAAACCTTATTCAGAACATGTCAGAGTTTAGTTTTCTGTGCCGTTTGGCTTTCTCTCCTTGGTGTTTTAACACATCTTATGTAAGTACTAGCGCAAATAAATAACTTACTACAAAGGATATGTGCGAAACCAACATTTTTAATTTTCTTTTCAAGACTGGGTCTCACTCTAACCCTGGCTGGCCTACAGCTTACTATATAGATGATCAGGCTGGCCTCAAACTCAGAGAGACTGATCTGCCTTCGCCTTCCAAGTGCTGGGATTAAAAGATGCATGATCACAACCAAGGAGAAACCAACTTTTTATTCTCTAAGTGTGACTTCACTTGCCTGAAGACTTATTTAGCAGTTTAACTCAGTAGAGAATTCCAAATGTTTACTTAGACATCCTTTGGAAGGCCTTCTTCCTCCATTTTCTTCTGGCATCCAGTGTGTTTATTATACAGAGCCAGTTTTGGTATCTTTGCCTTTTGTAGTGACCACTTTGTAGATTCTCTTCCTGAAATACCTGTTACAATTATGGCCTTTACGTACATGCATGCATACATGCATATATACATTACACTTGGTTCTTATTAATTCCACACTTGTTACTGGTCCTCTTTCTCAAGGTTATCCCTTCCTGCTTTTATGTAAATCTATTCTATTAACTCTTCCTCTAATATCTTTTTTCTAAATTTAAATCTAGACTCTGCTTATGAGAAACGATTCTTTTTGAGACTCACTTTGCCTAACATCTTTCCAACTCTGATTTCGTTTTCTTTATGGCTGTTTAAATTTCCACTGTGCATATATATCACATTTTCTTTATTCACCAGTTGATGAACACCTAGGTTAGTTCTATTTATTAGCTACAGTGAACCGTCCAACATTAAACATGGACTGTAAGTATCTCTAGTTATGTGCTGTCTTAAGGGTCCATCAGATATATGTCCTGGAGTGGTAGACATAGGTCATATGGTAGTTCTCTGCACTGACTTCCATAGTTGGCACATGGCTTTACATTCCCATTGGCAGTAAGTAAGGATTCCTTTAACCCCAGACCCTAACCAGCATTTATTGTTGTTTTCTTGATAATAGCCATTGTGATGGTGGTTAAGATGGAATCCCAGTTTGAATGTGCATTTCTCTAAAGCTAAGAATGTTGAACATATTTTCAAATAGTTACTGGTCATTTGTATTTCTTTTAAAAACCATCTGTTTAGTTCATTAGCCTACTTAGTAAATGATTAAATTAGTATTTGAATTTTTCAATTTGACTATATATTTTGGCCTTAAATATATAGTCTATTGTTGACAGGATTTTATTTTTCTCATTGTGTATGGTGTCTTTTGATCATGAAGATGCTTTTATATATAATCCCATTTGTCAGTTTTTGGGATTATTTCTGTTCTGTGAGTCGAATAATAGGATGGGCATGAGATGGCTTACAGGTGGAGCACTTGTTGACACGTACAAAGCACTGATTAGCACCTGGCACCAGGGAGCTTAAAAAAGGTCTTGTAAGAATTTACTAGCTTTGAGGATTCTCCCATTTATAGTGTTCAGTCTTTATACTCACATTGACCTGCTCAGTAAGTTTTAACCAGCTCTTTAGTAATCCCGAGTCGTCCATACATACTGAATGAAGAAATAGGATTTAGAAGCCCCCATTGAGTGGGAAAGGATCTAGGATTTAGAGGACTTTGTCAAATTTGTTTTCTAAGTGCATGCCTGTGTCACCAAGACAGGTTGGCTTTTGAAAGGAATAGTAGTATTTATTAGAATTAAAATTTCCCTCTTCAGTATCACTGATCACTTGAGACCTTGATTAGCTTTCTAAGACCATGCTTTTGTACATAACCTGGGCATGTACATCATCATTATCATTCTTTATGTATCCGTTGCTCTAAACAATCATATTATAATTAGGTACCATAAACAATCCAAAAATAGTTTAAAGTATAAAGCAATGTTCTAAAAATTTGAACACATCTTCTGATATCTAGGGAGAAGTTCTGACACCCTCGGGGATACCAAAGGATGGCTGCACTGTTATTTCTACGGTTATATTGGAGTTGAGTTTTTATAGCACGCTAAGCACTCACTAAAACACTGGGAACATATTTACTTAGAATTCTTTCATGTGTTGCACACTAAATATGATCTCATACCATGCTTGTTTGCTTACTCCATTGCATGCATTTAACCTGTGGCCTCCAGAGAACTATATATTTGGAAACTGATCATTCTTCTTTTAAAAAAATCCATTTGTATTGTGTTTAGTGTGTGGATGTGAGTATACACATGACAGGGCACATGTGAATATAAGAGGAAAACTTGCAGGAGTTGATTTTCTCCTTCCATTATATGAGTCCCTGGAATTGAACTCAGGTCAAAGGCTTCGAAGCTCTGGAAATAATTATTCAAAACAAAACAAAACCCTTCGGTGTCTGAGAGAAATTTCTTAAGACATACAACACCATGTTTAACACAAGCCTCTAGGTCTTGAACAGTGTAAAATAGTTCTCCCTGTAAAAGAAGAGCTCTCAGGAAGGTATAGTTGACCATGTTGGTTCAGGTTTTTAGGACCCATTTACTTTTACTGGAAACAGTTATTTATGAGTAGGCTGTTAAAACCATTTAGGAAGTGAGCTTGGAGCTTGTTGCCAAGCCTGAACAAGTTCATTCTTCAGGACTCACATGGGGCAAGAAGAGAACCAACTCCTTTAAGCACAGCACAAAGGTACCACAAATATAAAAGTAAATTTTTAAAATGAGTATCCCAGTTTTCGTCAAATCAAGGTGACCAACTTGCCCTGTAGGTAAAATGTTTGCTACGGTGCCTGCTGTTGCC